ATAAACAGGTTAAATATATGGTCGGATGGATGATATGCAGTAAGTACAAATCCTTTACAAGTTGGAATCCAAGGTAAAGATGCATGCAGATTATCGATTCAGTTGGCACAGTTATTGAATAGTATCACCAGGCCCTTTCTTTTTAAAAGTATTTTCCCATTTTTCATGTTAAATGTATTGATTATTTGGAGTGCATGAGTACAATTTTCCCTGATGACTTACTATTAATATTTCAATTGAACAAGCAAGCCCCATTAGAGAAATATTAATTTACTGATGTATATGCTTTTCAGAAAAAAGATAATCAGGACATATCAACTAATAATTTCTACATTGATTAAATGCAAGTAATGGGTGCATTAGGCTGTGCTGAACACACACTGGATTAAATCAGGCTAAACTTATGGTTGATGGTCTGTCAATGATCTGAGTGTTCGATGGCAGTACGTACATTAACTCTGTTTATACTTCTTTGTACTGTGATCGCATTTGAATCATCCACAATGAGGATTTCCCCTGACTCTCTGTCTCTGTCAGTCAGCTTTTCCCTCGAGGAATGAGTTGTGTTTTGTCTCTGTCGCCCTAGCATCCCCTGTCTGTCATCTCTCTCTCTCTCTCTCTCTCTCTCTCTCTCTCTCTCTCTCTCTCTCTCTCTCTCTCTCTCTCTCTCTCTCTCTCTCGCTCTCTCTCGCTCTCTCTCGCTCTCTCTCTCTCTTTGTCTACTTATACAACACCACTTCAGCTCCAATTAAAATTGAGCTACATCTCAAGCATGAAGTAAACAAACTGTTTATGTAGTGTTTGTGTGTGTGTGTGTTTTAGTGTGCACAAAATGTTGAATATAGATTAAAATTTGGAGTAATTTAATTGTCAGTGTTGCTTATTCAAAGAAATGTCTTCAATAGACAGAAGTGTTGTAAGACATTTGAGATATAATCTCTAAGTTTGCTTTTACAAATACCTAGAACCAAAAGACTGCAGAAGTGAAATCACACTCAACGTTTGTTGTCCAAACCTTACACAGGAATATGTCTTTTGGTTTTTTAGATGCAAACTCTTTGCTGCAATGCAATGTGAGGTAAGGGTGCGGTTAGTGCTTTTCATTTTAGCAGAGCTGGCCTCTGGCAACTGAAAGTGTGACTGCCTGCTTATCTATTTCACACATCAGTTTTTCATAGCGTAAAACAAACACTTACGTTTCACACATTCAAGAGTTTGATAGATTTATCAGTTTGATAATATACTCAGGTCCTAAAGCCTAATGTACAGTAGTAGCCCTGAGTTCTGCTTGATTTTAGGGTTGCTTAAGACTGACCGAGCACAAACTGAACAAACATGTAGGCGTACGGTGGAGCATTCTGCATGTGCATTTGTTCCAAAGTTTATCCGCCCTTGACTGCAAATTCATTTGATAGTGAGCTGGAAGCATGTGCAGGACTGCCAGGATGAAGGTGATGTGGGCTCTTTTCCTGGGTCAAGTGAGGAGCCTAGCGACAAGGTTCGGAAAGAGTTGTAGGAAGGAAATGATGATCAGATTTTACCAGAGTAGAAGGAATTGTCGAGGTCAAAATGTGTAGATTTACTGTAAAGGGATGGATGACTATTTCCAGGGAAGTCCAGCAAAGCCAAGGACACATTTAAACTTCATTAAGTCAAGACAGGCTCCATTAATTTGGCTGCGCTCATCTGAGTATTGTTTTTGATTGTTTTTTTTGTTTTAATTTACACAGAGATTTGTTGCATATAGTGTAAAGCACGTGTTAGAAAAGTAATCAAATGTAACAGGCTCAGATGACATTACTTTTATGTAGTCATTAAAATAGTAACTTACAACAGGGTATTTAGTCAACTGTAACCTATTACATTTAAACAAACCTTACCAACACTGTTGATAAGGCATCTTTTGCATTGACAAAGTTGGTGGTACATCTAGTGATGCTGCAGTCTCCATCCAGTTAGGACTAATAAACTGCTGACTTGGTGTTTTAGGTCCCAGGATTAAGCACTCAGAGGAGCAGCTCAGAGGTTATACAGGGTATCACACAGTTACATTGGATCATACTAATAGCTGAGGCAGGGCTTTTTGTGATCAGCAGAAATCTCCTTGGTGCTGGTCACAGCTCCAGAGTGTCAGCCTGTCAGGCACCTCCGGACAGCTCCTCTGACATCCTCCGTGTTGTCTTGTATTTTTTTCTATAACAGGCAACACGAGTTTAGTTTGAGTCATTTGATGAAAATGTATATGAGTTTAAGCAAAAATGTAGTCTTCGAGTTATAGTCCCTTTCTCTGTCTCTTGCGTTGTTATTTAGTTTGTATTTATAGACGAAGAAGAATTGAATATATATGGAACATATGTTGTCATAGATCAAGTTTTAGTCTCATTTTTGTAATGAAAAATTGTTGTTTACAGTAACACTGTCTTCAGGGTCCAGTCTATTTGGTTGCTACATTATATCAAACTCTTCTCAGCCTCTCAGCCCAAGGCTGCTTCATTGTTTGGAAAGACCACCCACACCACAAACCCCCCCACACACTATTTTTTCAGCACAGGAGAATGTGCCTCCATCATCCCTAACTATCCATCCTTACTGCTCACAACACACATCAGGGTGGGTGCCTGAAGCTTGTTATTGGCAGAGAGGAAAAAATAAGTCAAAAATAAGGGCAGATCAAGTAATGAGTTATAGAAAGTTTGCTTTTGGTGATTCATTTTGTTCTTTTAGGTAAAACAGAGGAGACAGTTTTTTGATAAAACACTCACACACACACGATTCCCCATGACAAAGTGAAATATTGGACTTCCAGAGAAAACTGCTTTGTGTTATATAACATTCACCAACTTATATTCCTGCATCAGCTTTCTCAACTGTGCATAATCACCTTTTTGACTACAAAACACATTTGCATATAAGCAAGATTGTTTTATCAAGTTAAAAATTGCTACAGAATACTACATGTTTGATGTAGATGTCTGTATGATTTTGCAGTATAGGATCTTGTTGGGCTGTTTGCTGTATAGTCAAGCATAATGAAACACGATGCCCCTTGTATCCTCAGACATTTAGCAAGCAGGGTTGTTGGCACAGATTTAAACACTCACACATACACACACACAACGAGAGCAGCGCCTCTAAGTAGGCTCAAGTCCCGCCTCCCCTTCAACAAGGCAGCACAAGAGATTCTTAATTCCACCTCTGAGGACTTCTCCAGAGATGTATGGTTGGCGGCTGCTTGGAGGCAGGAGTGGGAGCTAGCCGGGCCCTCCCGCATCCATCACTACATCTGGGACCCAGGAGATGGCACCACAGGAGGAGACGACCTACCACGCCGACAATGGACCACACTAAACCGTCTACGAAATGGGGTCGGTCGCTTCAAAACATCAATGAAGAAGTGGGGCCTGGCAGACAGTGCTGCATGCGGTGACCCTGAACAGACTGCCGAACATATAATAATAATTAATAATTCCTTACATTTATTATAGCGCTTTTTCAATGACTCAAAGCGCTTTACATATACACACATATTATACATGCAGATACTGTGGACAATACCCACAGGAGCAAGTTCAGGTGAAGTGTCTTGCCCAAGGACACACCGGCTTTACAGACGCAGCAGCGGCGGGTTTCACCCCTTGATCTGATGATCATTGCACAGCGCACTGCGTCACACCGTCCATCTTCACGCCTCGAGGTCATCGAGGCGCTTTTACAGGTACACATTGGTATTATACATGTACTGTGGACAATACCCACAGGAGCAAATCCGGGTAAGTGTCTTGCCCAAGGACACAACGGCCTGACGCAGTGGCGGCAGGAGCGGGTTTCGAACTGGAGTTCCCCAGCACTCCCCCTTGATCTGATGATCGGATGCACAGACCACTGCGCCACCCGTCCCGATAAATATAATAACCACCTGCCCTTTATATAGACCACCCTTGGAAGCCAGCCTCTTCGACGTAGGACCAGAGATGCGGGCATGGCTACACAACACCGAGTTGGACCTCTGACGTTACACGAAAGAAGAAGACACACACACACACACCATTTTCTCATTCTCTCATCTGAACGTAAACATGTCTTCATTTAGTGCAGGAGGCTGGATGCAGGGCAGGCTCTGCTGTAATCTGCCTCTTCTTGACAACATTCAATTCAGATGTATCTGAGAGGCAACACCAATCCCTTCTGTCATACATCAATTTCACAATCTGTATCAACCGGCCCTCTCTCTCTTTCTATCTGTCTCTTTTTCTCTCCCTTTCAGCATGGGCTCTAGCAGTGTCTCACTGTTTTTCTCCCTGTCTATATCACTTTTCTTCTCTTCCTCCGTGTCTCTGTCCATCTTGATGTTTTCTGTATTTTCTGAGGTCTGAAAGTCATATACAAATATTTTGCTGCCTCTAGAGACTTTAGTTTGTATTTATTTTTTAAAAGCCAAGTAACTACATTAAGTGATGGACAGAGTGCTTAAGAGAGGCCCAAGGACAAAACTGTGAATCCTAGTCTGTCCTCTCGAGGGGAATGACAGCATCCGTCCTTATAGCTAAAAAAAAAACACTAAATAATCATGTTGAAGTTACCAAGTCGTAGCAGCGAAATAAGATAAGCTTTAACAGTGGGGTAAAGAGGTCAGGTTGGATGAATGGGTCAACAAAACACTTGAACACCCAACACCCTAACCCTCCAACCATGGAAAAACACATATTTAAATCAGAGCCACAATCATCCATACCATTTAAGCTGCAATTGGTTGCTTTATTTAAAAATATATATATTAAGTTGTCATATTTTTTTCTAAAACTGTCACCATATCCTGTCACTGCTTTTAAAAGGGAAACAAACAAGTCCCTGACGTAGTGTCAATCACTGCCCCTGAACGCCGATGTAACTGTCAAACAAGGCAGTGATCATCGCATTTAAATCTAAATGTTATCCCTGCATTGTTTATGTCTCAACTAAAAGGTTTTTAGAAACACATTTTTGTGAACCGGCAAGCGCTAATGATTTGGAAAGCTTTAATTGAGTTCACAAGCATGGATTGACACTTCACTGCATATGCTTTATGTAATCTAAATACATTATATTGATCAAATCTGATGTTTTTTTCAACAGCGATTGGATTGAATGTTCATTTGACAGCACAGATACATAAGTCATCCTGCAGATAGGGGCATAGGATTAGAACACACCTTTTGTGAACAAACAACAGATTTTACGCTAAATTATTAAGACTTTTTGGTTAACATCGTCTCCTTGCTCACTACTGTTCAAAAACAGTCAACATCATGGATTCCTCTGCTTGATCTACACTGTAAAATGTTTGGCTGTAAAATTACAGTAAATTACTGGCTCCTAGTTGCATGGATTTCACAGTAATTGACTGTAAATATTTCACAGTAATTGACTGTAAATATTTCACAGTAATTTACTGTAGATATTTTACAGTAAATTTGAATAAAAGTACAACTAAATACTGTGACTTTACAGTTGCCATGCCCATGGAATTACTGTGATATAGCAGTACAGAGCTGTGGTATTATGGTACCTTGCTCTACATAAATGACAGTACCTATATGTTCACGCTATTACTGTAAAATAATAATAATAATAATATATTTTATTTATAAGCGCACTTTTCATTTGCGTAAACAAAACTCAAAGTGCTACAAAATTAAAAAGGGTGAAACAAAAACAACAAAAACAATCAAAAACAATTTTAAAACAATTAAAACAACATAATAAAAGCTGTGACATTCATGCCGGCATGGCATAATGTGGGGGATTTAAAAATCTAGTTAAAGGCTATTCTAAAAAGATGCGTTTTTAGGCCTTTTTTGAAAGCCTCCACAGTCTGTGGTGTCCTCAGCTGGTTTGGGAGGGCATTCCACAGTCTCGGAGCAGCGGAGCAGAAGGCTCGGTCTCCCATGGTCTTCAGTTTTGTCCTTGGTGGGATGAGGAGGTTTGCCTTTACTGAACGTAGGTTCCTCGTGGAGGTTTGTGGGGTGAGCAATTCCTTGATGTAGGAGGGAGCATTTCCATATATGCACTGATGAGTGAAGAGGGTGATTTTGTAGTCAATCCTGAGTGAGACCGGGAGCCAGTGCAGTGATTTGAGGATGGGTGTGATGTGTTTGTACTTCCGCACTCTCATCAGGATCCTAGCAGCGGTGTTTTGGATGTATTGCAGCTTCTGGATGTTCTTGCTAGGAATCCCAATGAGAAGTGCGTTACAGTAGTCCAGCCTGGAGGAGACAAAGGCGTGGACAAGTAAAGGTAATGCAACACAGTAGCCAGTAATTTACTGTAAATATACAAATGTAAATAATACGATAATATATTGTAAATTTGACTAGTTAACTGGGATTTTACCATAACTACACAATTCAATCAGCTCAATCAACAAAGAAAATGCCCATTTTAACTTTGTACTACTCCATTGAAGTACAAAGTACATTTCACAGTGTCTTGGACATGTTGTTACGGCCCCAACCTCTACTCTGCGGTAGTGGCTCGTGCTGAGACCCGCAACATGAAAGAATACACGCAATAACCAGTACTTGGTAACGAGCATTTATTGATAATCAGCCGTTTGCTCACACAAGCGAAACTGGAAACAAAAAGAGGTCTGGAGGACTGGCCAAAAGGAACAAACAGAAGGAGGGAACCGGAGCCAGCCACACCACGGACCGTAGGACCCAGAGCTCCCCCCCCCAACCAGAAATCAAATATAAACCCTATGGGAAAACAAAATAAAGCAACGAAAACTGGACTACCAGGTCCTCCAGGCTAAACATAAACACATCTGCAAAAATATGGCCTACAGCTCAAAATGGCAAAGAGGTATTCTAAGGAGAGTGTCTCCCGGCGTTAGGATAGGCGAGACATCCTTCTCCTTCAGCTTCTCTTTATATATACACACGGCTGAGTGGAATTTGGAACACCACAGAGGCGGAGCCAGGGGCAGACCAGGTGCACCTGGGAGACAGAAAATAAAACAAGGAGGGGAGCACTTAACACATGTCTACACAGAGATCCACCCGAAGTCAACCATTTTTCTGTAGAATGTGCTGATTATTATGGGGGTTTAAATTGCCATGCCTCTTTTTGGCTTTCGAGCCTGTCTCAGGATTAATGCCCAGGAAGCCCCTGAAAACAATAAGCCAAGACAACAATTTCACATAGATTTATATGGTGCATCGTTTATTTTAAAGCACATGCAGCGGTGCCCCTTTCAATTTAAGTAAAACCTGCACCAAAGAAAGAAATTAGTATTTAAAGCCAAGCAAGAGCGATAAAAGCAAGAAAATCACTTACTGTAATGTGTTGTGTTATCACAGAGGATGGTCTGAATACAGTATTTTACTATGAAATAATACAGTAGCAGAGGCGCGGGAAGGTATTTTGAGTGGGGGTGCTGAGGTGCTGGACTCCAGTGAACACTATTACGGGCACTATAGAGCACGCACAAAAGCACTCCCCACACGCAAACACACAGTACACCCGCGACTGTTACAATGAAGGCTCGATAATTAGCTCACGGCATATAGGCAGGGGTAAAGTGCTATTTTTTACGAGTGGGGAGCGGACCTCACCTCCTCTAGGGAGGTCCGGGGGGATGCTCCCCCGGGAAGATTTTTTTTAAATATTGAATTTAAAAGCATCAATCTGGTGCACTTTGAGAGCAACATTAAGAGATCTATGGATACATCTCTCAACACCCAGATGAAACAGAACTGTAAGCAGATGTTCTTTTTCTTTATGGATATTTTACAAATCACTCCCCTTTCAAACTGTATTCTTGTTTTACTGCCATATAGTATTTCATAACTGTTTTTCCTTTATTCTCTTATTTGTTTTATAACTATAATGATCATATGAAGGTGTGCCGCGGAAATAATCTTTTGAATAATTTGTGACCAAACCGTTTGAGACCCACTGAGATAACTTAGAATAAAGTTAACTATCTAAACACTCAGAGAGTCCTTTAGCTCACCTGAGTCGTCTGAGAGGAGAGCTCTCCTCCAGCTTGTTGTGGAACCAACAGCAACAGCTCCATACATGTCCGTTAGTGCAGCTAGCTAACCAGATGCTAACATCACACACACACACACACACACACACACACACACACACACACACACACACACACACACCACACACACACACACACACACACACACACACACACACACACACACACACACACACACACACACACACACACACACACACACACACACACACACACTTTTATTTCCATGCAACTCTCTGATTGGTCTGGTGTCTTGCCTCTGTTGCATTCACTGAACACGGGAAATTACAGTCCTGCCGTCCTCTCGAGTGTCATGATGAGGTTCACGTAAAAAATTATGTTATTGAGGTAGAATTATCCGGTGCTACAGAAAAAACATTCGGGGCACGCCAAAATATTATTTTACCAACAATGTGGAATTTATGGCTACATATTACACAGATTATGCACAGCGGGTGCAGCAATAACCGTCAAATAATAATTCAGACAGGGGAGCTCCGCACCCCCTGTCTGCCGCTAGGGGGTGCTGCAGCGCCCTCAGCACCCCCCTTCCCGCGCCTATGTACAGTAGCCTAACATGTTGTGAAATCCTGGTAATCATTGATCCTGTACATTTACAGTAATTAACTGTGAATGTATTGATTTCACTGTGAAATTCAAAATTACAGTATTATATTGTGAACATCACAGGTAAAGACTGTAAAGTGGTAAAACAGTAATTTATTGTAAAATATTACAGCTACATATTGTGAAATCATGGTAATATTTTTACAGTGTAGTTAATCAGTAAGTCTTAGCAAATTAATTAACAAAGTGTACTTAAATGAAAGGAACCCAATGAAGGGGAGAAAACACTTACTTTGGAGAGTGTTTGGCAGGAAAATAGACACAATGGGGCTAAACATGGAAAAACACTCTTCGGTCTGTATAGAAAAGCAAGGCAAAAGGGTCCTTTATCTGTGTTTTCATGTTTAAATATAAATACTACTGAGATAATTAGGAGGTAACAAATGTTTGAATGTGTGTGGAGTGAACAGGCCTTATTCCTACTGGCAGGTGTTGGTTTATTTATCGCAGAAGTGCTTTTGCTCCAGCTTTTAATGGAGATCCTGTACCTGAGGACTAAAATCTATGACAAATTATGAAGCGAGAGAGACGGAGACATAAAGTGCAAAAGAGAAAAAAAATTGCAAAAGAGAGCATTGCACGTTGAGGGGAGGATTGGAGGAGGTTAGACATTCATTAGTGTTTTCCACTCGTTCCATTAGTATCAGGCTGCTGATGCTTTTACTTTTCCTTTTTTTGTTTTCCGCTTGCATAAACCAAAGCTTCTGGACAGTTTTTCTCTCTCCAGTTAACCACGTGTGAGAGCTTAATGAAGAGGAAAGGTGAGCAAGGTATCAGAGTAACAAAAGGACGCAAAAGAAAAGAACAAGCAAGCAAGGCAGCACCTATGCTAATGGCGCTAATGGGTTTATTGACTGTGACTGATAATGTCCCTCCTTCACCCGCTCACAGTTCAGCTGGGCTGCCGAGCTGAAACACACGGTACAGCATGATGAGAATAAAGTGAGTGGCTTTTAGGAGTTGTAATGCTTTCCTCTGGGTATAATTAATCAGTCTTAAACATAGTGAATTGGTTTCTACAGCATTATTTACGCTGCATTGATTTCTAAAGCATTAGAAGTGTTTAGAAAAGTATTTTTCTGAAAGTGTTATCTTTATCTGTATTTTACAAAATGTCAAAATGAAGCTCCTGCAGAGGAAGTCAATAATAACTGAGATAGCAGCCTCAATCATAAAATCTGAAATAGGTTAAAATCCATATACAGTACTAGAATCCTATAAAGCTTTTTACGGCCATTTTATATGGTTTGGGGTCTGTGTTTGGTCTGGCTATTTCTGCAACCTAACCTCAAACAGCTCCAGTTTTAGATTTAAAGAAAGCTCTTTCCGGGTTGACAGGTAATGTTGATTACCATAATAGAGATATTGGAGGTCAAAATCTCCACTTACACATATCAGACTGCAGTGAAACCTTTTCCTATTTCTCCACTTTGTTCAGGTCCTCTCTGTTTCCTTCAGGTCCTAATTATCTCATGTCCTGCCTCTCCTCTCTCAGGCCCTCACTACACAGTTAGTCTGCTCTGTGTGGCTCTGGCTCTTAGTGTTTGTAGTGGACTGCGCTGCCGAAAAGACGTGCCATCTCATCCACAAATAATTTAGTCCCCTCTATGGTTCATTTATTTTGTTTAATGGCAAGTGAAAGCCTGGCCGGTCCTCTTTCCTTGGTCACCTCGTCACGCTGTGGCATTTTTCCCCCAGAGGTATGTGACCTTTATCAGGGAGCAGAGCCCAGCGTTGTTTCGGCTAACTACTGACCCTCTCACAGGGAGCTCATTAGCCAGCCGCACTCTCAACGGACACTTTATTTGGCACTTGGGCAATTAGGATCTTCACAAATACCACCAATACCTGAGGACAGCCTTGTGTGTGACAGAAGGCAGGAAGTCCCTAGGGACTGTGAGATGAGCATTTTTTTAGACTCGATACAGTATCAAAAAATAGGATATTATGATACTCAAATGTCATATTTTTTCTTAAACCCATATTTATTTTAGATTAGAATGACTTTTTAGCAATGGTTACAGCGCGTGCACACATGCAATAACCAACATATCCATATTCAATGTTTTGCAAGAATATCTTACAAAAAGTAACATATGTGTTGTATTTTGAAAATAGTCTCCTTTTCTAACAACTTGGTTAGGTCTAGGAAAAGATGACGGAAATGCCGTTACCTACATCATGAAAAAAAGGTCAGATGACCTTTAATTTTCTACCTCATGACTTCAATACCACACTGTGTTCACTGTGTTATTGCTACTGGATGTTTTATCTACACTAAGAGCTACTACAATGTACATCAATGGTATTTTCCATTGAACTAACATGCCATATAATGTGTAATGTTATGTTTCCTAAATGGTTCACAAGAAACTTCACATAAATCTTGTGAAATTATATGTGAAACGATTAGATCCAGGTCTTAATATAAATTATAAATATTAGCAACTAGCAAACAACTCATGTAGCAGATAGAAGCCAAACATTACAGTGGATGTGAGCAGAGATTTGGAGGAGCGACCACAGCACAACGTCCTGGCAGCCGTTGGGATAACTGAGCAGCCTTTGGGACTTGATATTTAC